ATATGTTTCTGTATCTTTCTGCAAGACGTAGCTAATTATAGCGCAAGGTAATCGCATAAACTTGAAATAGTAATGTTTGCAAATATCTGTTCTGTTGTAATTATTTATGATTACAGTTATCTGACATTGCTTTTTTCATTTGATGAAATTGTATCTGTTGTACATATGTAAAGATTCCCATAAAACATACAATCACAACTTACATGCCTTTTTTGGGAAACGTCTGGAATGATTGGTATATGTATGTTGAAGTTCATTTTCAATTGCATGTTGTTAACTTTAGACGTCTGAATTAATACCTACGACATTGTTTATACGTTGCAATTACAAGGACATAATACGTGAGGTAATGTAAAGAACAGTTATCAAAAACTTTCAATTTTTACGTATGCAGTGGCTTTCGGTTGCCACCATGCATATAATAATGGGTTTTGAAAATATGAAATATGCAAATCTTGTATAAAACTGAATTAGTTACAATCACAGGATTGTATACACCTTTGAAAGTAGAGTGAATTGAGAATGGAGAAACCCCGTATTACACAACTACTATTGATGTAAACCCTGCAAATTAATGAAGAATACATCTACACTGTAAAGAAATACGTACGCAATTTTGTTATAGTAAATTAAAAAAATATTCCCGATGAAGTAGATATGATAAGACATTTCATGGAGGGAATTGCAAATGCAAGAAGTTGTAGTTATGTTGAAAAAAACATCATTGATGCAGTTATCTGTAGAGGGGTGTAAAACTATTATGTGAGCCTTGTAGCTTATATATGCAACAATGGCACCTACGCAGTGATGTAAAACGTAGACAGGTACACATTTTTGTGCAATAACGTACAATTTTCAAGAACATGGGTATGTGGTTTAAGTAATATACAGTACTGCAAAGTTATGTAAAAAACAGTAGGGCATATGTATGTGTAACTGAATTGATGAAAATATTTGCTTTATCCATTTCCTTTAATAGACAAAACGGTTTTGTAAATTATGAGGTGTATGAATATGTAAACATGCATCCTGATGAATATTTCTACTTTAACGTAAGACATTCCTTGTATTTGAAGGAGAGAATTATAACTTGTGAGAATTGTATAAGTAACATACACAAATTATTTAATGCACGTTCTTTTAGGGTGTTCATTTCTGCGTGATTGTACCACGTTACTTGTCTAATGCACATATCCTTAAGCCAAATAATTGCGTTTTAATGAACACACTTAATCAATTAATGTAATATGATAGAGATTGCTGAAGACGTTGCTGATGCAAATAGCTATTTCTCCCCTTCTTGAAGGCCTTCATTGGTTCTCTAACCCCACAGTATGTCGTGTACGCCCCTGCAGTAGTTTCTCATTGATTTCCATTTTATGGAAGTATTATTATTGACGGTATAAAAGGGAGTAATTCCATTGTAAAGGTAGATTGTTGTACGTTTATCCTCCGATATACTTTGTTATCATTGGTAATACTTAGTTGAAGTTGAAGTTGATGTTGTTGTTGTTTTAGTGTTTACTTATTTTTTTTTTTACGTTTTTTCTTTTTTTCTTTCATTTTGTCTGTACTTTTCTACTGTAGTAAATAGTAATAATTTTTGTTACAGCAGCTTTTTCTTACAAAATTGCTACAATGGTGTTTTACTGTTGTGTTCATGGTTGTTCTAATACGAACAGGGATGTTCCCATGCATATGTTTCCTAAAGACGAAATGGTAAGAAACTGAATTTTCAATTTATAGTTTTTTGTAAATTACACGTTACTTTAACAATGATGGTTACTGTAGATATTTTGTACGTATTACGTTTCATATGGAGTTGTGCATATTAACAATATCATTCCGACGTTTCGTCTGTGACTTAAATATTAAATTGTAACTTTTTATTACGGTAATTATATTTACTTTTCTTTGATCACAGCTTTATCAACTGTGGGTTGAACGGGTTGGCCGTGCTGACTTCTTGCAGAAGCCGATGGACCATGTAAGGAGATCGTATCGCGTCTGTCACATTCACTTCGGAGAGGAGAGTTTTTATCATGGTCAGTGGAACAAATCCACCATAAAGCGGGATGGCGTTCCGACGTTATTGTTGTCAAACGCTCCTGCAGAGAGAGGTAACTAATATCGTTTTTTCAACTTGTCCTCCATACTTTCATTATGTCTCATTACATTAGTAAATCAATCTCTGCATACATGTGATTGTTATTGAGTGTACATTAAGAATTGAAATGTATTAATATTTTCTTGCGGTTAATAACAGGTCTTCGTATTTACAAAGGAGTGCATGTACTTCTGTACTGAGAAATATCACTTGAGAAGCTTTTCTTTCATATACTTCTGCGTTTCCGTATAAAGTCTCATACGAATATGTTGCTGTAAGTTTTTTGTTTTCACAGATGTCCTACATGCCGACGCCACATCCGCCAATTCCTACGGACCACTACCGACAACGGCGTCTGTAATTGCAACCGGTCAGTTCCGTAATAATATGACTGTTCTTCTCATTTACGCAATTAAACTTTCTTCACAGATAGTATATTTCCCGTCGACACAGAGGCAACACCCGCCCAATTTACGTCTGTGGCCGAAAGTTCCGGCAAGTTACCGTATATAGTATATGACTATAATGCTATTGTATTTATTTTAATTTTTTTCACAGATGTGCTCGTTCGCATGGAAATAGAAGCGACACCCGGTCCGTCCACATCTGCACCCACAACTTCTGGTAAGTTGTCCCTCATTACTTATTTTTTTGTAAACTCAATTTACATTTCTTGATAGATGATCCTTCTAAAATGGGATCCAAAGTAGCACGTCGGTTACGCAAGCGTCAGTTATTAGTTGTGAAACCGAATGACCGCCAGTTGCGAAAACTTGCTGAGAAAGTTCGGACAACTGCGGACTGTCAGGACTTCGTACGGCAAATACCCTTTACCACCGGAATCGATGAAAACATTATGAATTCCATTACGAAGAAGGTTCAGTCGGTCGATATACTGGAGCGGTACTGCAGCGTCGTTTTTGATGAAATGGCTATTCAACCACTCCTGCAGTACAATCACGACTCCGATTTGGTGGATGGCTTCCAGGACAACGGTCACATTGGTGAGAGAAGGAGAGTTATTGCCGACAAGGTAATGGTTTTCATGGCGCGTGGCATTTTCGGCAAGTGGAAGCAACCCTTGGCATACTATTTTAACGAAGGGGGTATGAAAAGGGACGTTCTAGTTCGCAGTATACGTGAGGTTGTTGTGGCTTGCCAGGGTGCTGGACTAATTGTTAAGGCCCTTGTCTCAGACCAAGGCTCGTCCAACGTTTCTGCCATCAACCGGTTATACGCTGAAACCGACGAATACTTTGCTCAGCGAGGTGAAGAAAACAACTTTTTCGGAGTACTGATAGGGGGACAGGAAGTTGTACATCTGTACGATGCACCTCACCTTCTGAAAGACATGCGGAACAATTTTTTTTTAAACGACGTTCGGTTCCAATGGCGGAATGGAACTGTGGAAATTGCGAAATGGGATCACGTTCGTCAGTTGTACGACTTAGATGGCAGAAAGGGCGACGACTACAAAATATGCAGCAAATTGACTGTGGCTCACATCAACAATACCCGCAAAATGAAAGTTTCCATAGCTGCTCAGGTGCTCAGCAGGAACGTGGCGGCTGCGATGACCACGTTAACAGCAATACCGAACGGTCTACCTCAGGAGGCTGTAAGTACCGCAGAATTTTTGTTGTTTATGGACAAATTATTCGACACCGTCAACGGGGCCTCCATTAACGTAAAACATGGCAAGCGACTGAGATGCGCTGTGACGTCAAAGTCTGAACATTGCCAGTTTTGGACAGAAGCGATAGCGGTACTGAAGACCATTTCCTTTTTCAACTCACGGAACGCTAAAATCATTCCACCAACGGTTAAGAACTGGATTCGTACTTTGGAGGGATTCCGGTACTTGTGGGATGTGCTGCGGAAGGAGCGAGTGTTGTTTCTTTGTCCGAGGAATCTCAATCAAGATTGCTTGGAGAACTTCTTCGGGTGCATTCGCAGTCATGGAGCACGGAACGTCAGTCCTAATGCGGCCGCTTTTGTTAATTCTTTCAAATCTCTCATAATTAATAATTATTTGGCAAACCGTTCCAAATCCTTTAATTGCGAGAGTGACAATTTACGGGCGTTTGATAATTTAAAACAATTTCTCTCCGGCAAAGTCACCACTACAACGTCCATCCGATTTCCAGAAGTGACAATTCCCGAGTACATACCAAGCAGTACAACGTTATTGCGTAGGGGCACATTAACGTATGTGGCTGGTTTTGTTGCTAAAAGAGTGCTCTCCAAGGTGGCAAGGTGTAGGCAATGTAGACTAGATCTTTTGGGAGACGACCGGACTGCGAAGGATTATTTTGTAATTCAAGCGAGGGCTTACTCCCCTAATGAGCTGCTATCTCCTTCGACAACTTTCAACTGTTTTCTCCAAAAGGCAATTTTCATACTTCAGCATATATTGCCTCAAATTTGCGCCGATGTAAATATTACTGGAGAGATGGAGGTAGTGCTGAAGCACACAATGCACCACGACAATTGCTTCCACTGCACCCACCATGATCTAAACCTACTGCTGGTGCAGCATATTTGTAAATTCTACCTGATCACGTGGATTCGAAATATAAACATGGTACTGCAAGGCAAGGAAAAGGTGGGAACTTCTTCGGATCCCATGAAACAATACGCGGCGAGGAAGTACGCACAACTTCGTAGGAAGTAGACAACCGGTAAGTGTCATACATGTCTTGTTTATTACATATTTGCATGCTGCGGTATTATTAAAGAAAGTACTTTGTAAATTTGTAAATGTCATTGTACTTATTTTCACAGCTTTCACAGTTGGCGACCATCGCTGTCCACCTACGAGCCCCTCCTTCTATTGCTCTTGCCATACATTCCGGTAGGTGTTGCTTGAAAGCTTGACTAACGATCAATTTTTATGCATACTTTTTGCAGAAAGTATTCAGTACGGTAGGTACCTTTACAAGTATTATTTTCATTATGTTTACAGATTTCACAGTCACCGATCATAGGCGCCCCCTACGAGCCTCTTTTTACGTTGCCTTGCCACAGATTCCGGTAAGTGTTGCTGAAAAGCTTGACTAACGTTCTATTTTTATGCAGACTTTTTGAAGAATGTATTCGATAGAGTACCTTTATAAGTATTATTTTCATTATTTTTACAGATTTCACAGTCACCGATCATCGCCGCCCCCATACGAGCCTCTGTTTGAGTTATCTTGCCGCACATTCCGGTAAGTGTTGCTGAAAAGATTGACCAACGTTCTATTTTTATGCATACTTTTTGCAGAAAGTATTTCGTACGGTACCTTTATAAGTATTAGTTTCATTACTTTTATAGATTTCACAGTCACGGATCATCGCCGCCCCCATACGAGCCTCTTTTTAAGTTGTCTTGCCACACATTCCGGTAAGTGTTGCTGAAAAGCTTGACTGACGTTCTATTTTTATGCATACTTTTTGCAGAAAGTATTCAGTACGGTACCTTTGTAAGTATTATTTTCATTATTTTTGCAAATTTCACAGTCACCGATCATCGCCGCCCCCATACGAGCCTCTGTTTGAGTTATCTTGCCGCACATTCCGGTAAGTGTTGCTGAAAAGCTTAACTAACCTTCAATTTTTGTACATACTATTTGTAGAAAGTATGCGGTACGGTACCTTTATAAGTATAATTTTCTTTGTTCTTACAGATTTCACAGTCACCGATCATCGCCGCCCCCTACGAGGTTCTTTTCANGTTATTAGATGACCTAAGTATTTTATTTGACTTTGCCCGAACTTACATTTCTGTAAGTTAAATTTTATATTATTCTTACGTGCCAAACTAAAAACCTTCAAAAGTCTCTCACCATGTTCTTCTTTGTTACGCCCCCAAATAAAAATGTCGTCGATGTATATGTCGACCCCATCGACATCAAAGATCGACTTGAAACGCGACTGAAAGGCCTTCGGAGCTGATTTAATTCCATAAGGGAGTCTTAGAAATTTATACCGACCGAAGGGTGTACCGAATGTACATAAGTTGGAACCCTCCACATCTAGCGGTATCTGGTAAAACCCCTGTGTAGCATCCAAAGTACTAAACACTTTCGCCCCCTTTAATTTATAAGTAATTTGATCTAATGTGGGAATTTTATAATATTCCCTTTTAATAATCTTATTTAAATCTTGCGGATCCAAACATATCCTCAGTTTCCCGTTTGTTTTTTTGACTAAAACCAACGCATTAACCCAATCTGTCGGATTTTTTGTAAGAAGTATTCGATACGGTACTTTTACAAGTATTATTTTAATTATCTTTACAGATTTCACAGTCACCGATCATGGCCGCCCCCCTACGAGCCACTTTTACGTTGCCTTGCCACAGATTCAGGTAAGCGTTGCTGAAAAACTTGACTGACGTTCTATTTTTATGCATACTTTTTGCAGAAAGTATTCAGTACGGTACCTTTATAAGTATTATTTTCATTATGTTTACAGATTTCACAGTTACCGATCATAGGCGCCCCCCTACGAGCCTCTTTTTACGTTGCCTTGCCACAGATTCCGGTAAGTATTGCTGAAAAGCTTGAGTAACGTTCTATTTTTATGCATACTTTTTGTAGAAAGTATTTGGTACGGTACCTTTATAAGTATTATTTTCATTACTTTTACAGATTTCACAGTCACTGATCATCGCCGCCCCCATACGAGCCTCTTTTTAAGATGTCTTGCCACACATTCCGGTAAGTGTTGCTGAAAAGCTTGACTAACGTTCAATTTTTATACATACTAATTACAAAAAGTATTCGGTACGGTACCTTTATAAGAATAATTTTCATTATTTTTGCAGATTTCACAGTCACCAATCATAGGCGCCCCCTACGAGCTTCTTTTTAAGTTGCCTTGCCACACATTCCGGTAAGTGTTGCTGAAAAGCTTGACCAACGTTCAATTTTTATGCATACTTTTTGTAGAAAGTATTCGGTAGAGTACCTTTATAAGTATTATTTTCATTATTTTTACAGATTTCACAGTCACCGATCATCGCAGCCTCCCTACGAGCCTCTTTTTAAGTTGATGCCTTGCCACAGGTTCCGGTAAGTGTTGCTGATAAGCTTGACTAACGTTCACTTTTTATGCATACTTTTTGTAGAAATTATTCGGTACGGTATCTTTATAAGTATTATTCTCATTATTTTTGCAAATTTCACAGTCACCGATCATCGCCACCCCCTACGAGGCTCTTTTTAAGTTGCCTTACCACAGATTTCGGTAAGTGTTGCTGAAAAGCTTGACTAACGTTCAATTTTTAAACATACTTTTTGTAAAAAGTATTCGGTACGGTACCTTTATAAGTATAATTTTCTTTGTTTTTACAGATTTCACAGTCACCGATCATCGCCGCCCCCTACGAGGCTCTTTTTAAATTGCCTTACCACAGATTCCGGTAAGAGTTGCTGAAAAGCCTGACTAATTTCCAATTTTTATACATACTATTTACAGAAAGTATTCGGTACGGTACCTTTATAAGTATTATTTTCATTACTTTTGTTTCGGGAAGACAGGTAAGAATAATGTAAGCACGTTTAGATGTTTACTGCCCGGAGGCCGGTACTGTAGTGTCCCCGCAAGTGCTCACCAGCCCGGCGTTAGTCAGCGACCCCTCAGCTCGTTGCTGATGGGCTGCTGCCCATAGAACATAGAACTCTACTGGCCAATGGCAATTACTTCCAGAACACCTTTCCCTTTTTATTTAACACAAAGTACATTACAGTTACAAACAAGTGGTTTTTCTTAATCTAAATTATCTATGTCTATATTTACATAATCTTTCATCCATACCGGTTGTCTTCTAACTCTTTCCGGTCTTACTACATTTTCGACAACTTGTTCTCTATTATTACGCTGAGCTCCACCCCGTTGTTTATCAATAATTTGTTCCCTACCAATGTCACGAGCTACAGCTTCTCGTTCGTCTTCCGCCCTTTCTGCGTTATTTTCTGCAAAATTAGGAACCCCATTGTTGTCTTGTACTACGCTAGTTGCAACCGGCCAGTTTGATCTCAACCCTGAATGTTTAACCGCAGATTCTATATTACTATTCAACTTATATGGAGCTTCGATCAGGTGCCATCGATTTCTCCGATGTAATCGATTATTATTACCTATTTTTAACAAATATGAGTTTGGTAGGTCGCTTCGCTGGACTACTGTGCCGTACCTCCGTAGGTCTATAATCCACACTGCATCGCCTACATTTAACTGTGACATATTTCTCGACCGATGTCTTTTATTATAAATTTCGCTTTGTTTGATTTTACTACTACTTTCCCTAGCTTGTACTTCGCTGTCTTTTATAAAAGTCTCTAGTTTACTTGGAAGAAACGGAAACGTGGATCGTATTTTTCGCAAAAATAATAATTCTGCTGGACTATACCCATTTTCTAGGGGAGTCGTACGATATGCCAATAAACCCAAATTTACATCTTCTGATTTGCTCAAAATATTTTTCGCTACCTTAACCATCGCTTCAATCTGACCGTTACTTTGCGCATAGTGTGGAGAACTAGTTATATGTTTGAATCCATATTGTTTGGCAAAATTACTAAATC